CAGGAGAGGGGAGGGGCCCAGGAGGAGGGTGTGATGGGGAAGCCCAGGGAGGGGAGCACCTGAGAAGAGGCGAAGGGGACAGCAGGCGTGCTGCCCTGGGCTGCTCATACTCTCCCCGGGGACCCACTGCTGAAGCAGCCGCGCTCTGCCTCGCTCCATCCACGGTTACCCAGGGAGCCTCCAGGCACAAGGCACCCTTCCAGGATTGGGGACTCTGGAGTTTACAAGGCTCCTGCCTCACGTGGGAACAGACAGGCCATAGCTAACAAGTTAACAGGACGCCTCATGGTGTGACTCGGTCCTGTAAATGGGAGGAGAGAGCGAGTGCTGGGCACCTTGTACTCAGGGCCACCTGCTCCGCGCTGGGTTCCTGCACAGAGAGGTGCTTCGGGAAGGTGTGAACACATGCTGCACAGCCCGTGCCCTCTGCTCCCAGACACCTCACTCCGTATTTCCTGAGAACAGCGACACCTTTACAGAACTCAGTACACTTACAGCCTTTGGAAAAGGGGACATGGACCTGCAATCCTCTGTCCACCTGCCAGTTTGTCAACTACCCCACAGTGTCTTTTAACATCTCTTTTTCTTCCAAAAAGAGATCCAGTCTCGGATCATGTATTCATTTCAGATTTTTAACTGAAGTGAAATTCACGGAACCTACAACTAACCATCCTCAAAGGGTACACTTCAGGGCACTTGGCGCAATTACGATGTGCTGGCGCCCGCCATCCCTGCTCCTTGTGGACTTCTCCAGCTCATCCCCTCTCTTCCCCACGGGCTCTTCTCGTTCCTGGAACCTCTCAGCAACAGGCCTTTTCTCTGTCTGTCCCCGAGATCCATTCGCATGCATTTATTCCCTCCTCCGTATCAGGAGCAAGCCTCCGAGTTCAGAGTGCCGTGATCCCTGCTTCTCATGGAATCTCGTGGCTTACGAGGCTCCCTGGACACTCCACTGGGATGTCCTTGGGTTAGAGACGAAAGGTCAACTCCTCAACCGTTCCCAAAACACAAGCTCCCTGGTCTCACAGAAGACGCTGAGAAGTTTTAAAGGGGGGAAACACTTGACTCATTTAATCTTTTAAACTTTTATTAGTGCATGTTAATCATACAGGAAGCCGGGATTCGCCGCGGTGTGTTCGTGCGTGCCCATCTCATACTTTGATCATTCTCGTCCTCTCTCCCCGTCCCCTCCTCTTCTCTATAATGTCTCCCTCTTACTCTCTCGCCGCTCCCCTTCCCCCACTCCACAGAGGGAGCACAGGACACGGGTTCTTCTATCTGGTAAGTCGCACTGACTTACTCAGAGATTGCCGCTCTCCAGTCCTATCCATTTTCCTGCAAATGACCATTGTCCTCTGTGATACTCCAGGGTATGTATCTGCCACATTTTCTCTGCATCAGTGACAGACACCTAGTCTGATTCCACCACTTGGCTACTGTGATTTGTGCCATGATAAACATGGGTGCAGGTGTCTTTGGAGTATGCTGACCTCAATCCCTGTGGGGACGACCCGGGATCGTATGGCAGTCCTAATGTGTACCCTGATTTCCGTAGTGGCCGTACCAGTTTACACTCCCACCAGCAGTGTGTAAGAGCTCCTGTGTTCCCCTACATCTTCAACAGCATTTATTGTTATGTGCCACTAAATTCAGCCCCAGAGGAGGACTCTGACCCTGCAGACTGAGTGGTGACCGAGCGCTTCAAGCCGTCAAATCACCATCACTCACTGAGAGTTCACAAAAACGAAAGATCCCCTTCCAGGGAGGCAGAGAGGCGGGCTCTCTCCCTCTTCTCCTGCCACATACAACTCAAACACAAGAAGACACCCAGGAAGAGGGGGAGCAGACCAGCTGGGGACCTGGGGACCCAGGGTACATCGTGGCGGAGAGCTCCTGGGTTTCTTCTGCCTCACACCTACCAGACTGGGAGCTGCAGAATCCCGCAGCTCAGAAACACCTCTCAGAAAAGCCTCAAAGCGAGGGAGCTTCAGGCTGCTCTCCAAACTGTGTTCTCAGCCCGCTCTCTGGCCCCTCCTCCTCTGGGCAACGAGATTGTTTTCCAGTTTCCCGCTGGCCTGGGTCATGCCATCCCTCGCTGCAGGCCCTGTGCGCAGCCTCCCTGAGCTAGCACTTCACCCAGGTCTGACCCCGGTGGCTTTCCTGGCTGTCCCAGGTGTGTGCTAGCTGAGTTCAGGGGTCTGGCCTCTGTGTCCTCTTACAGTTTGGGTGTCAGATCCAAGGTTTCCTCCCCCCTCAAGCCCTCTGACCCTGCAGGAAGCAGCCTGTGGAAGGCCCATTCTCAACACTTTGTCCACGTAAGGACAGTGACAGAAGACGACTGAGTGCCCGGCGTTGTGGTGCGCGCCTGCCATGCCAGCAACTCAGGAGCCCGAGGCAGGAGATGGTGAGCTGAGGCAGCCTGGGCAACTTAGTGAGACCCTGCCTCAAAACAAAAAGCAAAGGGGCTGGAGAGGTCGCTCAGTGGCCGAGCACCCCGGGCTCAAGCCAGTACTGAAACAAGAGAAAGAGAGTCCCCCCGAGACTTACTGAACAGGTTGTTCCAGGTCACCTTGGTCTTCTCCTCAGGCTCCATTTGCTGGAAAACGAGCACCTGGTGGCGGTCCAGGTTCTTCAGCAGCTCCTCGCAGTAGTAGGGGATCCCGCAGCTGCCCTCCACCAGGTACCTGCTGTCAAGACAAGGCGGCGGCTCACACTGCAGAGCGCCTGCCGTCACTCGAGACGACCCCCTTCCCATTCTCCATGTGCTCCAGTTTGCTCTCGAGTTCAGGGGTTGCTTTCCTCTTGTTCTCTTTCTTTCTCTTTTTAAATTACATAAAACATTTTTATCTCCCCAAAGTTAAATCTAAATAAAAGGTACATCCTCAGCTTTGCTTCTCTTCCTTAGATACAGGTAACAATTGGATGCATTTTTGGTTTATCCTTCCAATACTTTTTCTAAAATATATGAACAAAAGTGTGCATGGGTGTACACACACACACACACACACCTATTCCACTTTTCTGAATAAAGGCATAGCACCATCCTGCTCCTCCCTGCCCATCACAGGTCTCCCTCACTTCTGTTTACTGCCCTACAGTCCTCCGGGATTCATGCATCCTAGTGTATTGGACTTAGCTCCCCTTGGAGATGGACATTGGATAGCTTCCAGTCTCGTATTAATACAAATAGAGTTTGATAGAAACTTTGTACATATGTTACTTCATATTTGTGTCAACACATCTTTGAGATAGTCTCCTAGAACTGGGATTGCTGGATCAAAAGGAAAATGCAGATATGTAGAGAGAGAGCGGGGAGGGGGAGAGAGAGTCCAGTGCCTGACTGGAGTTATTCTATTTGGAGCGCTGGGGACTGAACCTTAGGGTGCTCTATCACCTGAGCTGCATCCCCAGCCCTTTTCTTTTTGTTTCAGGATAGGGTTGGAGTTACTTTAAATGACCCCTTGTCCAAGCCATCTTCCTTCCAGGAGCAAGACAACATCGTTAGAAAGAACAAAAGCAGAGAACAGGAGGGTTGTCAGCAGCCAGCCCAGGAGAGACGCTGTCGTCTGGGTGGGACAGCACCTGCCTGCAATTCCAGCTACTGGACAGAGAGAAGCAGCTTAGCGAGACCGTCTCTAAATGAAATAGAAAGGGCCGGGATGCAGCTCAGTGTTGGAGTGGCGTACTCGAGACCCTGGGTCCATGCTGAGAGAGAGAACTAGTGCATGCTATTAGGGGCACATCTCAAGGTCCCAGTGGAGGCACCCTGAGCAGCTCAGAGTGTTGGCCTGGACAGCTGCCACAGACAGACCACACACCTGCCGGCCACAGCCTGCCTTTCCCACCACCTTCTGTGACTGTGCTCCTAGTGACTGTTATCATGGGTAGACCACAGCAGGTAGACCCAAGTCCAGCTTGGTGCAGGGGAAACACCCGCTGAGCAGGGTGTGGAGCCACAGGAAGAGGTGAGCAGCACCGTCCCACCAGGCACAGCATGTGGCCCCTCTAAAGGCAGGGCCAGAAAAACACTGGACAGGCATTTGCAGACACATCCTGGAGCGTCTGATGACCTGCGGGCGGCGGAAAGCGTGACTTACGTCTCCAGCTCTTTGGGGATGCTGCGCACGTTGAGGTCCAGGCAGACTTTGTTGCGGATGTCGATGGGCTGCATGGGCCCCAGGGTGATGTAGGTGGTGTTCCTGTTCTTCATGATGGCACTGGCTGCCGCACAGGGAAGGCCCACGAAGGGCGACAGGGACATGATGATAAAGATGGGGACCGTCCGGATGAGCTTCTCCATGAAGGTCCAGGAGGCCACGTCCACAAACTGAGCCTCATCGATGATGAAAATGATTCTTTCCTCCTTCACTGTCTGGACAAGGTGACAAAAGAGAAAGAAAAATGCTGCAGGACTTCAGGGCTTTGTGCTCTGCGACAGGCGGCGTCTCCGTGGTGTCTGATGGTCCGTTACGGTGAAGGGAAAGAACCAAGCCGAATCTTTGTCTTTTCAATAACTCTGCATTAATCTGAATTCCAACAACTTACAATTCATATCAGTTACGACCAGTGGACTCTTATTTGGGCAAACCCGGGTATGATGATGATAGGACGGAAGGAAGTCAGGCAGGCAGGAGAGGCGAGCCCCAGGAGTGGGCTTGAGGGACTCCTGAGTCTATTTAAATTCTGAATTGATGCTGAGCTCAAGGCTGGAAGACTGGGAGAGAGGGAAGCACTTTGGGTCCAGCTTTAGCATACTTCCAAATGTTTCCTGGAACCAGAGCCCCTTGGGCGGGTGGCCAGTGGCTGACACACAGGTGCTCTTACCTGTTCCAAGATCTTCATGAACAGTGCTTCCAACTGCTTCTGCTTTTTCAAAGTGCTCATCTTGGAAATCTCCCGAGAGATAGGGAACTGTATGAAAAATTATGAGGACACTGAGGGCAGGAAACAGCAAAGGAACTTCCAGCTGTGTGACCCTGGGCGAACCACTGAGCTGCCTGTGCCTCGAGGGAGATCCTCCTTGGATCGTCCTTCTGTCCTTTCAGCCCTGATTGCCTGTCCTTTTTTTTTTTTTTTTTTTTTTTTTTTTAATATTT